ACGCTAGGCATCGGGCTGACGCGGCCAGTGTATGTGGGCTCCGTGGTGGCCACAGAGGTTCTGGGGTCCAGGAGAGGCCTGAACCTTCAAGGGTCTGCAGGAGGAGCGCTAAGGGAGGGGCAGGTGTGTGTGCCCCTGTTTACAGCTCCATGTTCTTGTGAGGAAACGCCTCCTTGCGGGGGCCCCGAGGCCCTCGGCCCAGACCCACTGTGGGGTCAGCAAGGGGGGACTCACGGCCCACCCGCTTGGCCTCTCAGGGCTGAGGGAAGAGAGGGGAGGGGTCCTGTCTGGTGGGTGAGGGAGGGAGTCAGAGTACAGGCACATAGTAGGCACTTTAATGAGAATTCTTGTGTGAAGCTGATGGAAAGTTCCAGGTCTCAGGAGAACCCCCAGCCTGCCAGAAGCCGGGCAGCCACCTCTGCCCCCGCCTGGCCCCAGGACCCTTCCCTGCAGCCCCTCAGACAAACCAGGCTGCAGAGGTCTCCCTCCCCGCCAGCCTTACATCTACCCTGGCCTGGACCCTGTGTTTGCTCCCCTGCCTTCCTGTTTGTCTTCTATGGAGCAGAGGTCTGGGCCTGGTGTGGCCTGGGACTTCTTCCGGGAACAGTGCGGGTCTTCCCCCGACAGCCCCCTACCGGCCCCTCCTCTCCTCTCAGTCCTGCCCTGTGACCTTGCACAGCCCTGCCTACCTTGGCCCTGATAGTCTGGATCCTTCTACCTGTGAGTTGGGACTGACTGGGGGGGGGCGAACACATGGCCAGAGCCAGAAGCGAACGGCCCCTTGGCCAGGCCCACAGCAGGGGACTCTGTTCCATTTATCAGTTACACCCAGATCCAAAGTGGATCTGAAACAGTTTATGGCAACAGACACCTGCAGCAGGACCGCTGAACTAGAAGCGAGAAAGGTTAAGACTTAATAGAGGCCTGTGGATGTAGCCATATGCTTTCTACGGACTTAATGCGGCCACATCTGTTCATTTTCATCCCCCACGTATTAGCCGAGGACCCACCGTGTGCTGGACACTGTTGTCCAGGAGATGGACCAGAGACGAGTTAGCAATAAAGACACAGTTTAATTCCAGACAGTGATACAACCTCCGGAGATGATGAAAGAGCGGGGAGAAGGCAAGTGCCTGTGGGAGTTGATAGTGTTGGTGGGGGCACCTCTAGTGTAGTGTTAGAACTGGGTGTTCGCTCAGAGGGCCTTCCAGGAAGAGGGAACGGCGGGAGCAAAGGCCAGAGGCAGAACAGCTTGCCGGAAAGCATGGCAGTAAGAGGTGGTCAGGAGGTGAGGGAGAGGTTACACAGGGGGCCACTGAGCGTTCGACTCTCTGCTGAGCTTCCTGGCAGTCAAAGCAAAAGTGGGAACAGAACAGAGTGCATGGTAATTTCCAGGTGAAGTAGGTGTCCAGTTCCACGAGGGCTTAAAGTCCAGGTGACACAAAGCCTCGTTTTAGTAAAAGAAGCCCAATGGGAGGCCTAGTGGAAGATCGTGTGGTCCCTGCCCACGGCCCTGCCTGGTGGCTTCTGGAGGTTTGCTGTCAGAGATGGCGGTGGGAGGGCTGCCCTCTTGGTTCCCCGTTCTTGCCCTTGAGGGAGTGGGGGCTTGGTGGGAGAGCTCTCCTTGGGACTGACTCCTCCTCCTGTCACTTCCCTGAGCCCCTTTTCTCCTCTAGGGGCGGGATCCTGGGGCCCCTCTGCAGCCCAGGGTCTCTGTGTCGGGGGAGGGTGACACAGCGGTGAGCACACACTGACCGATTCCCTCCCCTGTGCCCACACTTAGCCTCAGACGGGGCCTCGGGTCAGCTCTGGCCCGGAGGGAAGACTGACCACAGTGAGGCTGGGGGATGAGGAAGAGCGGGCCTGGGTCCGTTTGTCCCCTGGGGGAGGCCAAGCATGAGGGACTTGGACACTTTGAGGACCAAACACAGCCCACTTCTGCCTCCCCGAAGTTCCGCATTCTCTGTCCACCTGGGTCTGGTGAGACGGTCTCAGGCAGAGAGCGTCTCTGCCTGGTTGATGAGACCCCACGTGAGCAGGAGAGGAAGACCCTAAGTGAGCGCCGGGTCTGTGCCGGGCGCCCAGCCCGCCCCTCCAGCCGAGGCAGGCACAAGGGGCGCGAGCCGAACCCCTTGGAGGGCAGAGGAGAGATGGCTTCCCGGAGCTCAGCCTTGGACGCTTTATTGGCCCCGTGGGCTTTCCAAGCTCCACTCCAAACCCAGAAACAGAAACTCTGCTTACAGATGTGGAAGTGAGGTCATCTCTTTGGATGCTGTTCAGTAACTTCAGGGCGAGAGAAGCAGCAGACCCACCCCGGCTGACTCTGGGCCCAGCCAGACTTTGAAAAGTCGTTTTGATCCTCACACACCCACCCCCAGCCCCCACTCCTCTCCGGCGAGAGGCCTCTCTGCCCAGCCTGCCACTCCCCCTCCCTGGGCCCCGGGGAGCTGGCACGTCCATGTCCGGGGGGAGCTGGTGTGCCCGAGATAGGTGGCCTCACAGAGCCGGGCACCTCTGGTTTCCGGAGAGGTGAACAGGCCACCGAGGGACGTGGGGGACCAAGATCCACACCGAGCCGTGAGTGAGGTCCGAGCCCGCCCTCCTCCCTTCCTGCCCACCCCCAGGCAGCTGTGAACAGCCCTCTCCCCCAGCCGGCCGCAGTCTGGATTGGCTGAGTCTGTTTGGCTTTGTTCAGTGAGTGTGTGCCTCTGTCTGTTCTAGACAGACTTGGCCCCTCCAGGGCGGAGACCGTGTCTCTCTGCCACCAGCGAGTGTGTGGTGCCGCACAGAGCAGGCAGCGGGGCCTCGCCGTGTGGGGTGCGGTGCTTTGCCCCTGGTGCGGACACACCTCACTCCCGGGGACCTGCGCCTTCTGGCCCCACGTCAGGTGCCGCTCAGCCCAGCACCCGAGGGCTCTACTTGGCAGACCAGCCATTCCTTCTCCTGGATTTTCTTTGATACCGAAGAGCGGGCTCTAACCTCAGTCAGGGGCAAGGCATGGGGAGCGGCCCTCAGGGTTGTCCTTGGCCTCAGGACTTCACAGGCCCACGTGGCACCCTGGGGAGTCCAAGTCCCCTCCTGCCTGCCTGCAGCCCGGCCCCACTAGCTGAGCTCATGGAGCTCCCTCCAGGGTCTGGAGGCCTCTGAGGATGTGTTGGGTCTCTTCTTTGGGCCTCAGTTTCCCCATCTGTACTGAGGGAACTTGGGGACCCCATGAACCGTCAACACCTCCCAGGAATGCAGTTGAGGGTCTTGTAGCCCCTACTGGCATGTGCTGGGGGTCTTCCCTATGCCCACCACAGTTCTGCAAGGTAGGTGTGATGAGACGGAGGAGCTGAGGGTCCAAGGCTTTTCAGAGTCACTCCACAAACGAGGGCAGGGCCCAGACTACAACCCAGGCCACCATGGGTGCCACAGAAGGAAGTCAGGCTGCAGGCTGGCAGCCAGGGCTCCATGCCCAGGGCCTGCCCAGGTCTCTGGAAGGTCTCTTAACACCTGTTGTGGGCCCCTTGTCTCTGGAGGGGTGGCCTGTACTCTTCCACCATCTCCAAAGTTTCATTCAACCACATGCCCTGGATGTACCAGGGCCAAAGTCCTGGGCAGCCACCACCCTTTAAGTGTTCTGAGAAGTCCTGCAGGGAACGTGTTTGTTTTAAGCTTAATGCAACGTTTCTCTGTCTTCCTGGGCCTCGAACCTTGTTGGGCACAGCCTGCCAGCAGGCCTGGGGGAGGGTGCGACCCTGGGCCATCCTCACCTCGTCTCCTCCCCTCGCAGGTGGAGATGCTAGAACGGAAGTATGGGGGCCGCCTCGTGACCCGCCATGCGGCCCGCACCATCCAGACAGCCTTCCGCCAGTACCAGATGAACAAGAACTTCGAGCGGCTGCGCAGCTCCATGTCTGAGAACCGCATGTCCCGCCGCATCGTGCTGTCCAACATGAGGATGCAGTTCTCCTTTGAGGGGCCTGAGAAGGTGCACAGCTCCTACTTCGAGGGCAAGCAGGTCTCGCTGACCGATGAGGGTGCCCAGCTTGGGGCCCTGGTGCCGGCCGAGTGCAGTGAGCTCAGCGAGCCGCCCCCCCTCAAGGCCCCTGCCCCAACTGGCGACTTCACGGACGCCATCACGGAGCTGGAGGACGCCTTCTCACGGCAGGTGAAGTCGCTGGCCGAGTCCATTGACGACGCACTCAACTGCCGCAGCTTGCACGCGGAGGAGGTGCCTGCGCCTGATGTGGGGCGGCCCCGGGGCGCCGAGCCCCGCCCACGGGACGAGATGACAGCCTCCTACAGCGACGTCACCTTGTACATCGATGAGGAGGAGTTGTCGCCACCCCTGCCCCTGTCGCAGCCAGGGCGCCGGCCATCCAGCGCCGAGTCGGACCTGCGGCTGCGGGCCGGGGGCGCCGCCCAGGACTACTGGGCCCTGGCCCACAAGGACGACAAGGGGGACACGGACACCAGCTGCCGGAGCACGCCATCGCTCGAGCCGCAGGAGCCGCGGCTGCGCGGGGAGCACCTCCCACTGCTCACCATCGAGCCGCCCAGCGACAGCTCTGTGGACCTGAGCGACCGCTCAGACCGCAGCTCGCTCAAGAGGCAGGGCGCCTACGACCGCGGCCTGGGAGGGCAGCAGGGCAGTCCCAAGCACGGCCCCCCCAAGGGCCTCCCCCGGGAGGAGCCGGAGCTGCGGCCCCGGCCCCCCAGGCCCCTGGACGGCCACCTGGCCATCAACGGCTCGGCCAACAGGCAGAGCAAGTCCGAGTCGGACTACTCGGACGGGGACAACGACAGCGTCAACAGCACGTCCAACTCCAATGACACCATCAACTGCAGCTCCGAGTCGTCATCCCGGGACAGCCTGCGGGAGCAGACGCTCAGCAAGCAGACCTACCATAAGGAGACGCGCAACAGCTGGGACTCGCCCGCCTTCAGCAACGACGTCATCCGTAAGCGGCACTACCGCATCGGCCTCAACCTCTTCAACAAGTGAGTCTGCCGGCCTCCCCGCCTCCCCGCCGTCCTGGTCGTGGGCCGGGCCAGGGCTGCTCTGTGACAGAGCGCCGTGAGGGGCTGTCAGCCCCCAACCCGGCTCCCGTTGGTGCCCAGGGAGCCGTCGTGCGAGGGCCAGCGGGTGTGTGGGCTGGGCTGCACCGGCCCTGAGTTTATTTCCTGGGTGACGGGAGCATGGAGGTCTCTGAGCAAGGGTGTGACGCGTCCGTGTCCGTGCGGGCTGGGCTCAGGTGGACTCTCAGCTCAGCCCTCTGGGAGGCGTGTGACGCGGTCTGCTGAGCGTCACTGTCACTGGGAAGGTTCTGGTAAGGTGCTGTGGGTGTAGTCCCGAGAGCAGCTCTAGGGCAGGAGACTGGTATTTAAAGCAGACTATTCTTAGCACGGCCGAAAATAGCACGTGGACGGGGAGGAGGGCTGAGCGCTCCCTCGGAGGGGACATTGGCAGCTCTGGTCATTGAACCTTGGATTTCTCATCATTTCCATCCACCCGGCCTGCTGACTTGGGGTCAGCAGACGCCGGCCTGGTGCTGGCTCCTCCCGGGCTGGGGCGCGGCTAGCCGGCCTGCTGGCTACTGACACGCACGCTGTGCTTCCCTGTGCCTCCCTGTGCCCTGCTTCCTCTTCTCGACTGGGGGACTTGGGGGCACTTCTGAGCAATCTCTAGTGCAAGCGGCAGTGCCATCTGGGAACTCAGAGAGTCCCAACCCGAGGGTGAGGGGAGGGAGCCATGCGTTCATACAGGGGCCTCCAGGGGCTGGGGTCATTGGTCCACTGAGAACAAAGATGGACCCGTCACACCCGCTGCGGTGATCTCTCCTCAGACTCCCATCTGTGCAGGAGGTCCAGTCCCACCGCCACGTGAGCCGTGGCTGGAACAGCGCCCTGGACAGGGAGGGTCCCGCACTGCTGGGCCCCTCCTGAGCTCGGTCCCGGAAGCCCGCCCCACCTGCTTCTGGGCACAGCCAGCTCCTGGCTTGTCTTGGACCCTTTCTAGGGAGGCTGGTGGAGCCTGGGGGCTCCCCCAGTGCCCCAGCTTCCCTCACCCCGATGTGGGAGCCCCAGCTGAGCAGATAGGTAGCGGCCAGAAAGAACGGTCTCCTGGACCAGGCCGGTCGCTGGCCCTTTCCAGCTCTGTTGGTTTTAATTACGCCTCTAATGCATGACCACGCTCTCCAGAGAAAACGAAAGTCTTCCAGCTAGGCTGCCGCCCGCCCCGTCCCTCTGGAGTCTCCCCTCCCAGGCCTGCTTCTGCACACCTTTGCCGTGCCCCCTGTGCGTCTTTGGGCCGCGCAGCCTCTGCATGATGGCGCCGAGGCCAATGGTGTCACCTCGCGGGGTGCAAGGTGCTCAGAACAGCGCCAGTCACGCAGTGAGCCCCGTGACGTCACCTCGGCCCCGGCCGTGCACGCTCTCCCGCTGCGGTGCCGCCTCGCCATTTGCTGTTGCAGAGCTTCCCTGTCCGTGCTGTGGGCCGCCTCGTCCCCGTGCCGCTGTCTCGGGCCCACGTTCGGCCGTCCATGCTGATCTGGCCAGTTACTTCCACTTTCTCCTGGTTACCAGCGCTATGACAGTGAGCATGGACTCACTCCCCAGAGAACCCCCGGGGCAGGAGACGGTGGGGGGGTCGGGGCTCACGTGGACACGTTGGTCACTGAAGTAGAAACTGCAGCTGGATCTGAGACACGCCGGACAGCACTCCGTGTTTCCTTCTGCCCCAGTCGAAGCACAGGAATAGTGTCCCTTTTGTATTAATTTGTATTTCCCTGGCTGCTCCTAAGATGGAGCCTCTCCACGTGGGTCTTTGGCCATTGCCTTTTCTCCTGTAAAATGCCCATATGCTTATTTTGCCCGCGTTTCTGCTATTTGTCATTTTGATTGACTGGTCGTTCTTCATATATTGCAGATACTAATCCTTCGTGGTTACAGTTATTTTTCTTTCTGTCCTTGTCCTTTTTCTTTTTTTTTTGCTTCTGAGACAGCACTCGCATACCATTAACACTCACTCTTACAAAGTATACAGTTCAGTGGTGTTTTATTGTATGTCCTTTAACTTTGTTTTTGCTTTCTCAGTCTAACAAGAAGTTACTAATTTCTTTGCTTTCTTTTGAGGTGTGATTGACATGTAACATTCGTTTCAGGTATACAACAGATGAGTCAATATTTGTATCTGTTACAAAAATCTTCACCAGGATAAACGGAAAACCTCCACCATCATACATAGTTACAAAGTTTTTTCCTTGTGATGAAAAGTGTTGAAAATCTACTCTCTCAGCAACTTGCAAAACGCAACAGTGTTCCTAACTATTGTCGCCGTGCTGAACAAGAAGTGCCTGATTTTAACTAATCTTTTATCAGTGTTTTTTGTTTATTATTCTGGTTTTTCATGTTAGATTTTTAAAAGGCTCGCCCCAGGTATATTTTAAAATACATATATTTTTTGTATTTTAAAATATATTATGACTTATTATGACTGAAAGTTATTTTTTTCAGGACTTTCATAGTTTTATTTTATGTTCTGTAAGATTTTAACCTGGAATTTGGCGAGGGGTCTAGCTTTTATTATTCTGTACAGATTAACCAGTCACGTCCAGACAGTTTATTGAATTGTCTGTCCTTTCTTTGTTGACTTGAAATCTCATCTCGCCCCGACGTGAACAGGGTCTGTGGACCCTTGCACCCATCTGGCAGACATCTGTCGCACACCTGGTGCATGCTAGGCCTGTGTCCGCGGCCTGGGGCTTGTCGGTGAACAGAATTAAGGTCTCTGGGAAGTGCTGCGCTGGTGGTCAGAGCATCTCCCTGACCCTCTGCCAACACCAGACTTGCAGTTTTGCAGGTTTTCTTGTTAGGGCAGAGCCGCTCTTTTGTTCTCTTCAGTAGTGGGCTTTGCTCTCGTGGGGTCACTCTTCCCCGTGGGCTGTGGAATCGGTTCTTTAAGGCTATGAAAAGTATTGGACTTTGCCCTGGAGCCCCCTCACCGTGGGGGCTCTCCCAGGGGCCTCTTCTCCCCACCTTCTCCCTACCTCCCCGGCCCCCGCCTCGCCCGCACCCCAGGCTGCCCCCAGGGAGCTCTGTTCCCATCCCGCCCCAGGAGCGAGCTTTCCAGTGCAGACCCCCTCCCAAGGGGTCTGTGGAGGGTCACGGTGATGCATCGGGAAGAGAGAGGAAAGCAAGACAGACGAAACCCGAGGAAGGGGGAGCAGGGTGGCGGGGAGGAGCGTCCTGGGGCCGCTGCCATCTGCCCGGAGTCCAGGTGCTCCCCCCGGCTCTGGGGCTGCACGTCGGGCTCGCAGCACCAGGGGCAGGGCAGGGCAGGGAGCCAGAGGCAGACGGGTCTCAGCCCCAGCTCTGCTGCTCGTCAGCTGCGGGGACTGTGCAGGTCCTGCACCCTGAGCCTCGCTGGCAGTGCCGGGAAAATGGGTTCCCGCCCCAGGGCCTGCTGAGGGTTAGGGTGGTGGCACCAGGAGCCTGCCATCAGGCTGGCAGGGGAGCCTCCATGCTTCCTGTCACTTCCTCCCCCGGGGAAGGGGCCATCACTAACCCACTTCACAGATGGGTGAGCCAAGGCACCTGGAGATAGCTTCCCTGAGGTCACACAACTGGCAGGTGGCCCAGCTTAAACCCCAGTGCAGGGACTGGGACCTTGCATGTAACCCTCCGCATCCCTACCTGCTTGCGGGGCCATGTGTGTCCACTGAGTCCAGGGGGCGGGCCACGCTCATGGAGGCCTCGCAGCCCTGGAGCAGTGGTCCTGGGCTGCCGCAGCGGCGAGAGCTGGGGTGTGCGCCCCGCAGCCCTGAGGGCACCCGGCAGGACCTCACCAGGCCTGTCGCCTGCTTGCCGAGGGGCCCCGCTTGGGTGCCCCACACCCACATCCTTGCCCAGGACACCATAGCCACTCGGGCCCTCTCCAGCCTCTGGACGAGGGCTGTCCCCAGGGTCACCAGATGCAGCGGTGCCCTCGGAGGGAGTGGGCACCTCGTCTCTGAGGAGCAGGGACGCAGGGCCTCTGGGACTGCCCTCGTGCTGCACTGGGACTCCCGGGCTGGGGCTGTCGGGGCGGGGCCCTGAGGTCGTTCTGGCCCTGGCTGTGTCTGGGAGCCAGTCTCCCTCTCCCCACGCCCTCCCCCGGGGCCCGGAGTCGCTGCGGGAGGAGGCAGAGAGCTTCCCACGAGCCTGGGCTGCTCTGAGGTTCCGCCTTCGGCACCCGTGGGGGTCAGTCCTGCACGCCTGAGGGGAGCAGGCTCGGGGCTCGGCCAGCCGCCCAGCAAACGGCACAGCTGGGCTTGGGCTCTTGACCTGCTGGCGCCGTGCTGCTTGCCCGGGTCGTGCTTGCTGTAACCTGTGACTGTGACAGAGGTGAAGCCGGCCTGTGCCGAGCACTTCACGTGCGGCGTCTCCCTAAATCTTCACTGTGACCCCGTGAGGTGTGGCGCCGGGAGCCAGGCGTGGGGACCCGGGCACCAGTCAGGGCCCCAGAACCAGCAGAGCCGTTCCCCGAGCCGAGCCGGCTGTGCCGTCGCAGGTGGTCCTGCTGGCTTACGTGACTGGGTCTGCTAGGAGCCCTTTGAGCTGGGCCTGGAGATCGGGGTCCTATCCCCTCGACATGAGCCCACTCAGAGCCCTGGGGCTGGGCCTCGGGGAGGAAGACAGTGCCAAGGTGG